ATTTTAGGAAGGAAGAACGGTGTGTAGGTTCAAAGAGATATGATCAAGTCATTGTCCTGCTTTAAAACCTTTGATATTACTCCACTGTCCACAGGGAAAATTTCTTCTTATGAGAACCTATGGCCCCAGCCCATCTACTTCCTCTCTTATTAATCTGATGCTCCTGACCTGCCTGGGTTTCCCATCACACCAAGGATTTTCACATCTCTTTGCCTTTTCTCACAATCTTTTCCATCCCTGAATTACTTTTCCCCAACTTCCCCTGGTGAGCAGCTCCTTCTCCAAAGCTTGATCAAAATTCACCCGACTCTCTCAGCCAAATATGAATCTGGATCATCTCAGAAACATCAGACTGAAAGTAGCAGAAGCTCCATATCAAATGGGCAAGCAATACAGAAAATAGCTCACATGACAGGAAGTGTTAGGATAGCACAGGATTTAGGGATGGTTGATTCAGCAGCTCAGCAATGTCATTAGGGCCCCAGTTTTTGTCTGTCTCCCACCATATTTAGCATCTGCAGGGTCCTGGAGCAGCCAGGCATCCCTGGTAACCATAGGAGAGCTGCTAGCTAAGACTGAGGCAGCACAGAAGGAACACTGTGTGAGGATGAGCACCCAACAATCTCTACAACACAGTTGTGCCCACAGCACTAATTCCCAGAATTAAAGAGGAAATGTCATCAGGTTCTTGAGTGTAAGCTTTGGTGATATAAGGTAATCAAATGCAAGGAATAAAGGGAGGGGTGCCTGAGTGGCTCAGTGGTTGAGCACCTGCCTTTGGCTCAGGGCATGATTCCCAAGTCTCGGGATTGAGTCCCACATTGGGTTCCCTGCAGGGAGCCTGCTTCCCTTTCTGCTTATGTGTCTGCCTCTCTCTGTATGTCTCTCATGAATGAATAAATAAAATTTTAAAAAAGAAAGAAAGATAAAGAGAGGAAGAAGGAGGAAGCCCAAGAAGGGAAAGGTGCTAATTTTAAAAAATTTAAGACATTAATTATATTTATTACTGATTTTTTTCCTATCATAAAGTAAGAAGTATAAGTACCTTAAACTTTTAAATACTGTTTAATTCCCTTTGAAACCCTAGTATTCACCCATTTCAATATTTTCTTACAACCTCAGTAGAATTATTGAAATCAAGAAGTTCGTATTGATAAAATTAACATCAATGTATTTTTTTCTTATCGCTCATGGAAAATGCTTTAAATTGTGGTAAAATACACATAACATAAAATTTACCATTATAACAACCTTTAAGTGTTCAATTCAGTGGCATAAAGCACATTCATGTCGCTGTGCAACCATCAGCACTATTCATCTCCAGAACTTTGTCATCATCCCAAACTGAAACTCTGCACTCATTCCAGACTAAGTCCCCATCCCCACCTCCCTGTAGCCCCCCCGCAATGCCCATTCCACTTCTTATTTCCATGAATCTGACTGTTGTATGTACCTCAAATAAATGGAATTGTACGATATCCATCTTGCCGGGCTCATTTCACGTAGCATCATGTTCTTAAGATTGGTCCATGTTGTAGCATTTATAACATCATTCCTTTTTAAGGCTGAATCATATTCCATTCCATGCATATACCACATGTTTTGCATCTATTCACCCCTCAGTGGGCATTTGGGTTGCTTCCATCTTTTGGCTCTTTCACAGTGGCTACAACACTTCACATTCCCACCAGCAATGCACAACATTTCTAATTTTTCCACACCCTCACTAACACTTGTTATTTTCTATTTTATATTTCTATAATAGCCATCATTACAGGTATGAAGTAGTATCTCATTGTAATTTTGATTGCATTTCCCCAATGATTAATGATGTTGAGTTTCTTTAATGTGACTATTGCCCATTTGTATATCTTCTTTGGAGAAATGTTTATTCCCGTTCTTGTATTAAAAATTGTGGGTTTTTTTTTCACTTTTTGCCTGTTGTTGCTAAGTTATAGGAGTTCTTTATGTACCGATGCCTTATCAAATATATGATTTGCAAATATTTTCTCACGTTCCATGGCCTTTCACTCTGTTGATAGTCTCCTCTGTCACACAGTTTTTATTTTGATGAAGTCCAATTTACCTATTGCCTATGCTTCATTGTCTTATCCAAGAAATCACTGCCAAATTTAGTGTCATGAAACTTTTCCCCTATGTTTCCTTCTAAGAGTTTTATGGTTTTAGTTCTTCAAGTCTTGAATCCATTTTGATTTAGTTTTTGTATATGGTGTAAGTTAGGAGTCAACTTCATTCTTTTGCATGTGGATATTCATTTTCCCCAGTATCATTTGTTTAAATCTTTTTTTTTTAATTTATGATAGTCACACACAGAGAGAGAGAGAGGCAGAGACATAGGCAGAGGGAGAAGCAGGCTCCATGCACCGGGGACCCGACGTGGGATTCGATCCCGGGTCTCCAGGATTGCATCCTGGGCCAAAGGCAGGTGCCAAACCGCTGCACCACCCAGGGATCCCAGTATCATTTGTTTAAAAGTCGGTCATTTTCCTATTGAATGGTATTGCCAACCTTGTAAAAAATCAGTTAACAATATATGTGAGGGCTTGTTTCTGGGTTTCCTGTTCTCTTCCATTGGTCTGTATATCTATCGCTGCACTAATATCACACTGTTTTGATCACTGTGGCTTTGTGGTACATTTTGAAATCATAAAGTTCAAGCTCTCCAGCTCTGCTCTTTTTTTTCAAGATTGTTTTGGGCATTTAGGGTCCCTTGAGATTCTATGTGAATTTTAGGAGGTATTTTGTTTATTCCTACATAAAACGTTGCTGGAATTTTGATAGGGACTGCATTGAATCTATTGATCACTTTGGGCAGGATATCTGAACAATATTGATTCTTCCGATCCATAAACACAAGATGTATTTATATTTATTTATATCTTCTTTCTTTCAGCAATATTTCTCAGTGGTATAACGTACTTACTTAAAAAGAAACTTAGGGCAGCCCCGGTGGCTCAGCAGTTTAGCCCCGCCTTCAGCCCAGGGTGTGATCCTGGAGCCCCGGGATCGAGTCCCATGTCAGGTTCCCTACATGGAGTCTGCTTCTCCCTCTGCCTCTCCCTCTCTCTCTCTCTCTATGTCTCTCATGAATGGATAAATAAAATATTTTTTAAAAAAAGATTTTAAAAAGAAACAACATATGGTGAATATTATCCATATATTTCAATAAATTCTTTGAGAACATGATTTTTGGTAGCTACCTAACACCTCATCAAACAGATGTTCTATAAGTTACCTAATTAATGCCCTATTTTGGACATTTCATTTGTATCTTTTTTATATTATAAACAATGGTCAGATAACATATTAATGCACCTAAATGTTTGCATGTTCTTTTAACTCTTCTTTGGACAAATTCTTAAAGATGAAGGTATTATATCAAAGAAGTGAAAATTAAGTGGGTTTTACTGTCGTAAAATACACATAACAGTAAATTTACCATCCTAACCATTTTTACCACATAGTACAGTAGTGTTAACTATATGCACATTTTTGTGCAATGGACCTTTAGAACTTTTTCATCTTTTAAATTTTGGTTTTAAATTTTTCTCTATAGTTTCCAAATTTTCTATAAAAGTAAGAATTTTTAAAAGAAAGAATGTGAATAAGGTTTATTAAATGTGTGTGCATCAAATGAAATGAAAACAATTTTTTAGTATTAGATTTTGGTAGCAACAATCCAAACTAAAGGAGTGAAATAGAGCATACATATCAGGTTGTTTTGAAGGACTTGCTTCTTCTTAAGGAGTGGTTTTCAATCTGTGTTGATTTTGCTCCCCCAGGAAACATTTCCAATGTCTGAAAACATTTTTGGTTGTCACAACCAGAAGAGTAACGCTGCTAACATCTGGAGGGTTGACACCAGAGATGCTGTTAAACATCCGTAAGTGCACAGGACAACCACCCTGTAACAGAATTTTTTTATCCAAAATGTCAAAATAGTGTGAGGCTGAGAAACTCTGCTCTAAAGAGAGCTGAGCACCAGGAGCTACTGGGGATGAAGGTAGGGTCTTGAGGGAGGAAGGCAGACTCTAGGCTCTGGAGTCAGAGCCTTAACTCCAGAGCAAACACAGCTTGCCTGGAGCTGGGAAGGGTAGAGAAAGATGTAAGACTGTAGGATCTTAAACTTGTTATATTTGCATATTAACTTGTATTTCTCAACAGCCAGAACGAATCTTAGCACCTGGTTTGCAAAATTACTAAATAGAAAGTTAATGCGTGAGACGGAACCACCAGTGAGTCACCTCTATGAATTTAAAAAGTGAGGGTCTCCTTGCCTGTGCAGGGAGAGGCACCCCAGCTGAGGCCCTGGAGATGTCCCTGGTCCTGTCCAGGCCCAGGCAGCAGGGTGGCAGGTGCGTCCCTAAACGGGGCTTCCTTAGGGTCCAACTCCTGGTCACCCTTCCTCCAGTGTTAGCAACATCTATTGTACCCACTTGTCAGCCCGGAGGGTCATGGAGAGGTTCTTCCTCTTGGACGTAAATCCCATCTTACTTTAAACATACTACGGAGAAGGCAGGCTCTTCCCCCTGTGCCAGGTTCTCACACCAAGAAAATGCTCTCATCCCAACGTCGAGCTGGGCCCGTTCTGACCTCAGACTCAGTCATTACCCGGCTCTCTTACCCAAAAGGAGATCGTTTTGCAATTTAAGAAGATACCTAAAATATTCCATTGCCATTATTAACTCGGTGAGGGCTTTTGCTCAGCTCCAAAGTCCTAAATAGGCTTCGCCTAAAGGCCCCAGAGGCACCAAGTGACAGTTTTAACGCGGGTCATCAAATCGAAAACACTGGAGAGTCTAAGAGAAAACATACAATAAGTCCCCACCCCACCCCCCACAGTCATTATATAGAAAAGAGAGAAAATCCCCTCCTCGCCCCGCGGGCCCCTTTTGTGTGGTTCCTGCCAACGCAGCAGGCCTCCTGCTATATAGCCGCGCGCCGCGGCGCGTCCCCGACCTGGACCTGCATCCACCGCCATGGGGAAGGTGAGCCCCGCCAGCCCCAGCCCGGGGGCCCCCCCGCACCCCCGCACCCCGGGGCCAGGCCTCCGAGCCTCTCCCTCCCTTGCCTTGCAGATCACCTTCTACGAGGACCGCGGCTTCCAGGGCCGGCACTACGAGTGCAGCAGCGACCACCCGAACCTGCAGCCCTACCTCAGCCGCTGCAACTCCATCCGCGTGGACAGCGGCTGCTGGATGCTCTACGAGCAGCCCAACTACGCGGGGGGCCAGTACTTCCTGCGGCGCGGGGACTACCCCGACTACCAGCAGTGGCTGGGCCTCAGCGACGCCGTCCGCTCCTGCCGCCTCATCCCCCACGTGAGTGCGGCTCCCGCCCCACCCCCCACCCCCGGGCGGCTGCTCCTGGCCTCGGACTCCGCCGCCCGCGCCCCCGACCTAAGCGGTGACCCCGCTGTGCAGCCCCGCGGCTCCGCTCCGCGGGGGCCTGGCCCTGGGGAGGGGGCGGCGGGGCCCCCCGGCCCGCAGGTGGTCCGCAGGTGGTGCACAGGCGGCCCGCGGGTGGTCCGCAGGTGGTCCGCAGGTGGCCCGCAGGTGGTCCGCAGGTGGTCGGCAGGTGGTCCGCAGGTGGCCCGCAGGTGGTCGGCAGGTGGTCCGCAGGAGGCCCGCGGGTGGTGCGCAGGTGGCCCGCAGGTGGTGCACAGGCGGCCCGCGGGTGGTCCGCAGGTGGCCCGCAGGTGGCCCGCAGGTGGTCCGCAGGAGGCCCGCGGGTGGTGCGCAGGTGGCCCGCAGGTGGCCCGCTGGCCCCGCCGCCGCTGCTCTCCTGCACCTGTCGCCTCGTGGGGTCGGACCGAGGCTGGGAGCGGGCCCCGAGCACGCGGCGGCCACCTGTGCCCTGAGCGTTGCCCGTCCCACGCACGCGCAGTCCCGCCTCCTGTGCCGCCGAACCCCGAGCGGACGGTGGGCTGCCGGCCGCTCCCGCAAGGCCCGCGGCTGAGAGGGCCCCAGAGCAGCCCCGGAGCCCGCGCGCCCGGCTCCCCACCCCCACCCCCGCCCTTTCTTTCCTTTTTAAAAAGATTTTATTTATTTATTTGTTCATGAGAGAGAGAGACAGAGACACAGGCAGAGGGAGGAGCAGGCTCCACGCAGGAGCCCGATGCGGGACTCGATCCCGGGCCCCGGGGTCACGCCCTGGGCGGATGTCAGGCGCCAAGCCGCTGAGCCCCCCGGGGACCCCCCCCCCCGCCCTTTCTAATTCTGCCGAGCGCCCTAGTCCTCCGCTTCTCATCAAAGAGGCAAAGGCTGCGGTGCTGCTGCGCGTGTGCAGGGCCGTCGTGAAGACCAGGTGGTGCACACGTGGGCCCTTCACCCACGGAGATGCCCCCTTGGCAGTGCTTTCTACCGCAGGGGGATTGCTCCTGAGCACTTTTCCTCAAGAGCATTCAGTGGCTGGCGGGAGAAGGAAGACAGGGAGCCCGTCGGCGCCCTCTGGGAAGGCAGATGAGAGATCAAGTGCTCAAGGAAAGACAGGCAGGATTTGCTCCGGACAAGCAGCCTAGCTTTGCGTTTCTCTCAAGGTTTTATTCCCCCTTGGTCCTGTGCAGGCCTCCTCCACGACCCTGGGCTTTCCGTGTTGCTTCTTACCTAGAGCAGATCTGCAGGAGCGCCCTAGAGCTGACACCTGAACCTAGTCTCTGGGGGGCCTCTTGCTTTCCAGGGCCTTAGAGGAGCGGGGCTGAAGGCAGAAGGGAAGGGATTAGGGATTGCCCGGGCTGGGCTTCTTCTTGAATTGCCTCTGGTCTGTGACTTCACCTGAGGGAAAAGCAACTTGACCTCCCTTCCCACTAGCTTCTTCTAATACTGTTGAGATTCAAAATTAGAACTTTCTTTCCCGGGGGTCCTTTCTAAAATTGTATTTAAATATCTAATTATTCTTATGTCATCCAAGGATCACTTGAGCCCACCATAAACCCATAAAGGCGACAGCAATATACACATAGTTATTTAAGAATGATGCTAAATACGACCAGCGTGGATGGTTCATACAGGTTGTGGCCTGAGAAACTCTTGGCAGCACCACAGGTAACTTGATCTGTAGCAATGACGCCTTCTTCAGTTTTGCAGTGCGCAACCCATTCAAACGTACACAGCTGCCCTGGCATCGGCTATCTCAAAATTTGTCATCTTTGATACAGAAAAGATAAAGAAATGCCCAGTCCCTCTGTAGCATGTATGACTGGTTGCTAACGGCTCGGTTTTCTGACTTTTCCTCACCTGCTGATGGCCGAACCCACAGACCAGCTCCCACAGGATCAGGATCTACGAGCGAGAGGACTACAGGGGCCAGATGGTAGAGATCACCGAGGACTGCTCCTCGCTTCACGACCGCTTCCACTTCAGTGAGATCCACTCCTTCCACGTGCTGGAGGGCTACTGGGTCCTCTACGAGATGCCCAACTACCGGGGGCGCCAGTACCTGCTGAGGCCGGGGGACTACAGGCGCTACCACGACTGGGGCGCCCCGAGTGCCCGGGTGGGCTCCTTGAGGAGAGCCGTGGATTTCTACTGAAACATTTTTACTCTACCCTGTTCTCCATCTGGAAGCTAATAAAATATTTCCTGTGTGTTTGATGCAGCCATGTGGTCCTGTTTTCCTTTCAGCCTCCTTGGAGGGGCTCAGCAGAAAGAAAGCCTTGAATAATGTGGATCTGCTGACACCTGTCAGTGCATGGGCTGGCGTGGGGTAGCAGTTAGGAGCACAGCCTCGGGAGCCCGGGCGCCTGGTCCAAAGCCTTACTAGCTGTAGGCGATGGGGCACATTCCTGGGCATTCCTGTGCCTCGGTTTTCTAATTTGTAAAAATTGGGCTAACGGCACTCTTCATCTCATAAGATCGTGACGTGGATCACGCAAGTTTTTATTTTTAAATTTTTAATTTTCTTACAATGGTGCCAGGCACAAAGTAAATGCTGTGTAATAAGCATTTACAAACATAAATGCTCCTCGATTATTATAGAGTATTTGGGCTTAATCAACTAGTGTTTTATCAGTAATGGATCAAGAATCACCTGCATCAGAATCACTTGGACACTTGTTAAAAATGCAGATTCCAAGACACACACACACCCCCAGCTGCTGCTTCTGCAAATGGTATTTGAGAACCATGGTGCTAAATCTAGCTTTTCATAGTGCAGAATCACATCCCAAAAGATCAAGCACCCCTATTTTAGACACTGTGCTCTCCACTGGGAAATAAGGAGTCTAACAGTCTAGAGGGGGAATAGAACTTCCAACAGAATTTTTTTAAAGACTTTATTTATTTATTCATGAGAATACACAGAGAGGAGAGAGAGAGGCAGAGACACAGGCAGAGGGAGAAGCAGGCTCCATGCAGGGAGCCTGACGTAGGACTCGATCCAGGGTCTCCAGGATCACGCCCCGGGCTGTAGGCGGCACTAAACCGCTGAGCCACCGGGGCTGCACCCAACAGAATTTTTAAAGTAATTATGCCTGCACCTAGTAGAGGCAAGTATGTCAAAAGTGCTGTAGGGGCTTTGAGGAAGAAGCCTGAGAGGCTTGTCAGAGTTTTCATTGCGTCTTCACCCATCACTCAAGGGACTTTGAACATTCCCATTACCGCGGTAAGAAGTATGAACATGTATCACCCGGGGGCACCTGGGTGACGCAGTCAGTTGGGTGTCTGCCTTCAGCTCAGGTCATGATCTTTGTTAGGGCCCTGGGATGGGGCCACTAGGGCTCCTGCTCGGGAGAGGGTGGGGGGAGTCTGATTCTCCCTCTCCCTCTGCCCCTCCTGATGGTGGTGCGCGCTCTCTCTCTCTCTCTCTCTCTCTCTCTCTCTCTGAAATAAATAAAATCTTTTTTTAAAAAAATACTGCTCCAAAATCTTCTGGTAACTTTTCTAGCGGAATGCTAGGGACCCAACACTGACACAGAAGCATCACACCGACACGACAGGCAGCATAATGGAGGGATTAGAAGTCTAAAATCTGCCTGGAGTTTGATCTGACTGCTTGGGTTTGAATGTCATCTGTATCTAGTGTTAGCCAGGCTAGAGTCTTAGGGCGGGGTCCCCCAGACCCAGATCAGGAACCAAGGACTCAGGAGGAGGTGACTGATCAGAGAAGTGCTCCCAGGAGGGCAGGTGAGGGAATAGGGGAGCCAGATAGAGGCGGGCACAAAGCCAGCTCAGTCTGATCCTGTGGAGAGTCCTGGAGCCTGCATCCCCTTTTCTAGTCTCTCCAGGCTGGCGGCAATGGGGGGGGAGGCTGGTATTCCCACACCAGTACCCTCTGTCATTGGTCACTGGAGGGGAGGAGGACACAAACCCCCCAGACCCTTTGGATTCCCTTCACCTGCCAGCAAGAGGTAATCTTCAGAAAGTTGCAGGGCGATCTGCAGAAGCGGGGTAGGAGGGCAAGCAAACATGCAGAGCTGGAAAAGGATGTGAGGGGATCTGGGCAGAGCATCCCTCCTCAGGGTCTGAGGGCTAATAAAAATGTGTCCCTTGCACAGTGTGAGATTCAAAGGATATAATGTCTGCACACACTCAGCACAGTGCCTGGCACGTAGTAAGTGCTCACCAAGTGCCTACAATTCTTATTAAGTGCTGCAGACTTGGAAGACATGGGTATAAAGGTGGTGAAAATGTTCTGGACTAATCTTGTCCCATAAGGGAAGAAAACATGGCACAGATGAGGGGAACAACAAGTGGCTCAAGTTGGCCGAAGTGTCAGAGACGCAGAGGGGAGAAGTGAGAGAGAAGGTAGTCGGATGGTTTAAGCCAGAGCAGGGAGGGAGGTGGCATTGGTTGTTATTGTTGTTTTTTTAAGATTCACTCATCTATTTTAGAGAGAGTGTGTGCAAGAGAGGTGAGGAGGGGCAGAGGAAGGGGTTGGTAACTAGCAGACTCCCCGCAGAGCATGGAGCCCAACAACGAAGGGCGGGCTCGATCCCGCAGCCCTGAGCTCAGGACCTGAGCCGGCCGCCTAGCCCACTGAGCTACCCCGGCGCCCCGGGAGGGGGCCTTATTGATCAGACCTTGGCTGAGACAGAAAGGATGTCTCGGAAGGCTCCCAACCGGCATCTAGAACCTGAGCTCCAAAACAAAAAGAATTTTAACAAAGTCCAAGAGAGGGGCAGCCCTGGTGGCTCAGCGGTTTAGCGCCACCTTCAGCCCAGGGCCTGATCCTGGGGCCACGGGATCAAGCCCCACGTCAGGCTCCCTGCATGGAGCCTGCTCCCCTCCCCCCTTGCCCCCCCCACCCCCGCCTGTGTCTCTGCCTCTCTCTTTCTCTGTGTCTCTCATGAATAAATAAAATCTTAAAAAAAAAAAAGTCCAAGAGAACAACAGAGCAAGCAAAACCATTTCAAATGCACAAAAGCGGAAACCAGTAAAGGAGAAGTGTTGGTGCAAAGGTAAACGCCTTCTCCACAAGCAGGGTGATCACCATTCTCCAAGAGGCTGCAGCTAGGCCAACACACACAACACAGCACACAACAACACACTAGTTACTAGTGTCTAGTAACTTTGCCTAGACACTTCCAGCTTTCTTTTAAAAACTAATTTTGTTCTCTAAAACCAAAATCGGAACATAGAATAGTTTGTGATATGGTTATTTCTGTTACTACAAACTGCTAACAGTGTTTAAAGAAACTTTAAAATACAAAGAGCAAGAGGTGAAGAAGGAAACAGAGACCAGCTGGCTAGCAGGCTGCTGCAGCCTCCAGAAAAAAAGAGGCCACGCTCCCGGCAGGTGGCATTTACAAAGGTGGGAAGTGGACACATTTTGAAAACATTCTCAACACAGAAAGTCCCACTGGATTCAACGTGGGTGTGACAGAGAGGGTTGGTCTGCACCACTAGGAGGATGGAGTTGTCTTCAACCCAGACAGGGAGAATTGCAGGGGAGCACGTTTGGGGAGGAAAACCAGGTGTCCCATTTTGGACAAGAGGAGTTCGAGAAGTCTAGGAACAACCAGGTGGTGTTGTTAACCAGACAACTGGTTAGTGGTTAACCGGGCAACTAGCCTGGAGTTCAGGAGACAGGCATGGGCCAGAGATCGATGTTTGCAAGTCAAAAAACATGGTATTGAAAGTCATAAGTTGGGACAGGATCCTCATGGGAGTGTGGAGTCTTGGGCACCCCAGCTTTAAAATGAACATATGAGGGGCGCCTGTGTGGCACAGCCAATTAAGCAACCAACTCATGGTTTCGGCTCAGGGTCTGATCTCAGGGTCATAAGATCCAGCCCCACATGGGGCTCTGCGCTCAGCATGGAGCTTGCTTAAGACTCTCTCCTTCTCCTTCTGCACCTCCCACCTGCACATACTCTCTTTCTCTAAAACAAGTAAATCTTTTAAAAAATATGAAATAAAATAAATGTATGGGAAAGAGGGCTAACAAACAATGCCAAAGTTCGGTGACTCACACATTAAAAGTTTTCTGTTTCATTTAAAATAACTTAATTTGGGATGCCTGGATGGCTCAGCAGTTGAGCGCCTGCCTTCTGCCCAGGGCGTGATGCCAGGATCCGGGATCGAGTCCCCCATCGGGCTCCCTGCATGGAGCCTGCTTCTCCCTCTGTCTGTCTGACTCTCATGAATAAATAAATCTTTAAAAAAATAATAAAACAATTTAATTTAATTTTAAAAAATAAAAGAGGGTATTATGGGTTTTTTTTTAATGGGGAGTCCAGGTAACTCAGTTAAGTGTCTGACTCCCCATTTCAGCTCTGGTCATGATCTCAGGGTCATGAGTTCAAGTTCTATGCTGGGCTCCACGCTGGACATGGAGCCTACTTAAATAATAATAATAATGAAAAGTAAAAGAAAAAATGTTTAAGAATTTCATTTTTTTTAAATAGTAATGACTTTTTAGCTAAGTCTTAAAAGCAAGTAATCTGGAAACAAGGAAGTCAGCAGGAACAATGCCAAAGTAATTAGAAAAGTGAAATCTAATTGTTGTTTCACATCACTTTTGATTTTCTGACCATTACACTAGGGAGCACTATCTACCAGTTCATCAAGAAAATTTGAGGGGCGCCTGGCTGACTCAGTAGGAAGAGCATTCGACTCTTGATCTCAAGGCTGTGAGTTCGAGTCCCATGCTGGTGTAGAGATTACCAAAAATAAATAAATAAACAGGCTTTTAAAAAAAGAAGAAAATTTAGAAAACTGTAATGAATACTAAGTAATACCATGATGCTTATACAGCGATATTTAGAATTATTAAGGGATTAAGGACTTTGAAGCTTCCATGATAGTCACAAAGGCCTGGTACACAATCAACTACCCAAATTAAGTGAGGGCAGTCTGTCTCAAGCACACAGCCCAGGAGAATCACCCAGGCACTTTCAACACACGATGCTCACACCTGGTGAATCAGACATCTCCGGGGAATTTCTTGTGCATCTGTACGAATTAACAAGCCCCCCTGACAAGGATTATGATCCTGAACATTTGGAATCACTGAGTGAAAGCCTTTATCCCAAAGTGTCGTCTGCAAACCAGCAGCACGGGGATGCCCTGGGAGTTTGTTAAAAATATAGA